TATCTCAGCAAACGTAGGTGTCATGACCCCCCGGCCTTGGCCCCAGCCCTTGTCTGTCTCCCTCTCCCTGTTCTTCTTTCTTTCTCCTCATCAGTACTCATCAGCTCAATCAGTGACGGCTGCAGTAATTGACTCACATGGCTCTCATCACCACTGCTCCATAAAACCCAGCTCATCCCTCCACTCTCTGCCAGACCATTGACTCAGCTACCCGTTTCCCTGCCATGGATTCTCCAGCTGCTTCTTGGTTTCCCATCCACCATCCAATCCTGCACACAGTCTTCCAAGCCCTCGTCCCCCCGACCTGTCCTGCTTGATCCTCACTCCCTCTCCACATTCACTCTGCCTTTCCCTTTGTAGTTTTTTGTGAGTAGCCCTGCTTTGTTAACTTTAGCCAGCCGTTTTTCTAGTTTCGCCCCTTTTTGGTTTTAGGTTTGGTTGCTTCATACTAGTTTCCTTTACAGCTGGATTCCCCTATTCTTATAAGTTTTGTTAATCATTTAAAATAGACTCTGTAATTTCTTGATTTGTCTCTGCCTGTTCCTGTGTCTGCACTTGGGTCCAAACCTGTTTCCTGACAGTAGGTCGTCCAGCTTGTTGTCGAGGGAGCAGACATTGGAAAGTAGGCGCCATGGTACTGCTGGTCTGGAAGGGGGTAGCCTTTAGCCTGGCATGGATCCCGGCTCTCTTTCCCCTCTTTTGTTTAGGATGTTTGTGCTTCCTTCTCTCTTGGGCAACTGCTGGCATAGTCGCCGACAGGATTCGGTGTTGGTGTAGTACGTCCAAATCACAACCAGTCGCTGCAATTTTAGCGACATTTATGGTCCTGATGTTCAGCAAAGTCTCTCGGCTGTAAGTTTTGCGGAATGAATGTCTGGGAAAGGCAAGACACTCCAAATATCGTTGTCACTGTCTCTTGAAGGGGCCCCTGTGCCCATTCATGCCGCCATCACCATAGCAACATCTATCATATCCATGGAGGCAGGAATGATCAGTGTGGTAGGAAACCCAACACACAAACACACACCTGTGTCTGCAGCTTGCCAATGAATATCATGAATGTATGTTGTTATTAGCATTACCTGGAAACCACAAAACAACAAATAAATCAAGATCTGTCTGAGACATATGATGGATGGCAAACAACTTTTTCAACAGAAATCTAACAAAACCTATGAGAAGAAAGTATTGTTAGATAAAATATGAATGCACATTAATGGTAGATGTTTTTTAGTGACTTCTGAGATTAAGTAGAGCTGAGGAGTATTTCCATGCTTCATACATCTCTCACCATGTGAATATTTCTGAGAAACTTGGCTTGACAATATAGGAAGCAGTGAACATGTGATCAGGACAGCCAATCAAACACAGTCTTGTCTATGATAAGTGAAGAAAGGATCACAGTTCTTTTCATTCAGCA